AGAAGCCGGCGACTGATCTGCCTCACCAGAGAAGAGCGCAATGATGGTGCCAACTTGGGCCAGTGAAGCAACATCCTCCACAACTAGATTGAAGAACAAGACGACAGCAACTTGTCTGTTCCCCTTCCCCCAGTTCCCCAGCACTGTTCCCATTCCCCCAATTCCCCCAATAAAAATATTTTTAAAAAAATAAATAAAAAATAAAAAAATAGATATTTTAATATATTTCACTATTATCACAACTCAGCACTTTTGATTAACCTCAAAGTGTTGTCTTAGTCTTCCAAAATATAAACCACTTCCAAGTGAACTGAATGACTTGGTCTAGCAGAATCTAGAAAATTAAAAATTAGAGCAAGCAAAGTTGTTTTTTTTTAAATATTTAGGATAAAGTTAAAAAATATATTAATATATTATCGCCAGAATAACCACCACTCAGTATCAATAAGGTATTGTTGAGCTCCCTCTTGTGGCTGATGCAGGAGCCATATTTCACATTATCTGTTCCTTGAAAGATGGCCAGACACCTTTACCTCACCAGATTTTGATCCTTTTCATAGAATTGCTTGGCCATTATCATTATTACAGGCACAATCAATTGTGAGACAAAATGATGTCTTTGCTATAGTCAGCATTCAAGGAAACATGTCAAGAAAGAATTTCAGATGCCAGGTTGATCTGAGGAGCTTTATTAACAGCATTTTAAAGCCCCAAATTCCCCACTTCTAAAAGAGAACCCATGAGAATAAGACACACTGGTAACGCAGCTTTGTCTAGAATTTTTATTCCTTTGGTTGGCATGGAGCAATAACAGGGCAAAGGGATGGTTATGTAGGGGCTCAGTGCTGAAAAGAGTGTCGAAAGTAAGAGTTAAAATTATAATCTAATGTTTAAGTGAATTTATTTTTCTAAGAAATTTTCACTATAGTTTATATGAACTCTAATCCTTTCCCTCCAAAGCCACAAAAGCATGCATGCATACATACATACATATAATTTTCTATACATACATTTTACCTATATATACATTTTCTATACATACATGCCTATCATAAAGTTTAATTTATAAATTAGGTACAGTACGAGATTAACAATGATAGCTAATAATAATAAAGCAATTATAGCAATATAATGTAATAAAAGTTACTTGAGTGTGGCATTATTAAGTAAAACAAGGGTTACTTGAACACAAGCAATGCGATACTCGACAGTGGAACTGATAACTGAGACCCTTACTAAGTGATTAATGGGCTGGTAGCAGACACAGTGTGGATACACTGGACAAGGGGATGATTCATTTGCTGGGTGGCATGGAGCGGGCCATGCAGATTTCATCACGTTACTCAGAATGGTGTGCAGTTTAAAACTTATGAATTGTTTATTTCTGGAATTTTCCATTTAATATTTTTGAGCCACGGTTGACCACAGGTGTAACTGAAACCATGGAAAGCAAAACCACAGGTAATGGGGGGGGGGGCGGCACTACGGTAGTTTGCAGTTGAGGAGGATATCCTCAAAAGTCCAATGTGGCATCATATGAACAGTGGAGAACCTCTTAGATAATGGAATATTCCTTGTGTCTTTGCTATTATTCTCTAATTTTATGTAAAAAGTACGTAGTTCAATAAATGTTTCTCTTTTACTACAGGCCATGTCTATCTTAGAAGCCTTTGGACATGCCAAGACGACTCTTAATGATCTGTCCAGTTGCTTCATAAAGTATTTCGAACTACAATTCTGCGATAGGAAAAAACACTTAACCGGAGGTAAGTTTAAATTAACAAAGGGAGATCTCATTTGCTACCAGGAGAGGGCAGAGAAACACCAAGCATGGCAACAACAGTGATGGTTGTGCGTGCCTGTGTGTGTGTGTGTGTGTGTGTGTGTGTGTGTGTGTAAGAAATAGAGAGAGAGACTCTGTCTGAGATGTCAAGTTATGAGTTCTAACATTATTGTGAACTGAAAAATATTCTGAAATGCAAAGTGAACTTTTCAACATCATTATTGTATAAACTATATCATATGCAACCAAATCAAAAATAGCTGAAATTAATCATACTTGCTGAACATAGAAATAAACACAAATACTCAATTAAAATAAATTATAACTTGAGTATATAACATGTTCATACAACACACATTGGAATCTATTTTAAATAAAAATAAATCTATACTTTTAAAATGATTGAATTAAAACAAATCAAAACATCAAAATAATCACCCAACTAAACCCAAAGAGAACTATTTCTTATTTGGTTTAAATATTTAAGGTGTACTTAATGAAAACCCGTTATTTAGAATTCAAGTAATTTAGAATTCACCTAGGATTTTACATCTTTCTAATCAAAACAGATTTTCTATGCAAATTAACAATACAAATACAATTGTAGGTGGGATGCCTAATCTACATGGAGGAATCAACTATTTAAAAAACTTTTGTAAGAGCTCTCAGCACACAAACATTTGCTAATTTTAATAATTTTTAAGATTCCAATTTTATTTGGTGTTTTCAAGTTATGCTGTCTTCCCTTCAGTAAATGAAATTTCGTTATGACCATAAAACAAAAAAGCTGTACGTGAAAATCAAAATTTTTACTAAGCGAAAGTTCGTAAAAAATTATGCAAAACGGTCTAAGAAAAGATCATTTTAGATGTTGAAGTTAGAGGCTTAAATTCTGCAATAAGAAAAAAAGTTTGTTTTCTGTTTGTTTGATTGGTTTTGTTTTGTTTTTAAATCCATGGCTAAGAGTCTATTGGAAGTTATACCATTTTAGGAAGACCTCAGAAGAGAACTGTCGTGAGACACAAATATTTCCACATCTTGGTTTTATGACGCCCCAGTGAGACTGTCCCTCCAAGAGAAGGGCATGGCCTCTACTCTTTAATCTGACCATAATTTCCCCCTGAGCTATCAGTGACCAGTGGTTGGGACCATAGAAACTGGGAGGATAGGAAGTTCCAAAAGCTTTGTGTTCCAGCCCTTTGTCACTCCAGTGTGTGACCCAAAGATAAGCACTAAGGACCTAATTTGAAGCTTGTGGGAAATGCAGACTCAGGCCCCACTGCATGTCTGCCGATTGGGACTCTGCGTTTAACAAGTTTCTCAGGTGATTCTCGTGAACATTGACATTTGAGAGTCACTCTTCTGGCCCCACCCAAGTAAAGCCAGCCATTTGTGTTCGTGTACAACTGGCACAGAGGAGAAGTCACTCATCTGGAGTAACACTCTATTGACTTTTTTTATTCTTCCATTTGATAATCCCTTTACCTAGGTGAAGATACAATAACTGGCTTTTGCTGGTCTTATCCATTACTAATTTTGTTTACTTTTTTCTGGATAGAACTTAACATGTCCACTTCATCAGGAATGTTAATTTAGAAAGTAATTATATACACATCTGAAAAACAACTAGAAAATGTTGCAGTGAGAACTTATGTATCAAGGCTTCTGTTAATCAGCAATCTCTATTAGCACACAGCCCCACACAGCTTCAGCATAATCAAATCCACAAATACCTCTCACGTGGCTTCTGCAGGCAGCATGCTGTGACACAGCAATGATAAATATTCATAAAGATGAACCTGAGGCACTTCAAGATTCTGAAGTGCCCTCAGAATCATTAAGGAGTGAGGAGCATAAATTTAGTATACTTTGAGCCTTGTGCAGAGCTGCGTTTATTCTCCTCTTAGGAAAACAGGAATCCAGGCTTCCATTAGGTGGGCATTGTCCATGCTTCTCCACTTCCCGTATTGTTTTTCTACTCCTTCTGTTCTCCTAATCAACACTGATAATTCAGTCCCTGCTGCCTACGTTTGTTTGGTAGTTTCTTGCTGTGTTCTTTTAAAATTCCGGCAAAACAATTTGGTGGTGGTGTTTATGGTTTTTCAAAATTTAACCATAAAACAACTACTCATAAATGAACAAATAACGAAATAGATAAAGCCCAGTGCTAGTTGAGACTACATTAGTAGAAGCATCATGCCAAGAACGTAAGTGATAGGAGACGTCACAAGAGGTCAGACTGGGAGTTCAGGTCTTTGTTCCCTGTATTTTAGAGGAAAAAATAAAGAATGCGTTCAGAAAATGTTTATCAGGGGGGTGAAAATTGAAATTCCATGTCTTTGGAGCGAGCATTGAAGAAACTAAAAACGTTGACAATGAGAAGGAAGAGACTCAAGGGAAATATGACAGGCGTCTCAGATGTTCACTACCACATGGAAAGAGTCTTGAGTAGAAGGATCTATTATGCATACTATAAAGAGTTGGTAAATGTTTCAGAGAAGGCATTTCTTCACTTTATCGCAAGAACTTTCCACTTTACTTCCTCATGATTATAAAGTGCTTTCTCACCCTGAGGTTGTATGTCTGCAAGTACGATGAAAAAGCTGGCACCTAGAGTGCTAAAAAACATCTCGCCTGAGGTAGGGCACCTGGATGAGATTATTCTAAAAACGCTGCCTACTACTCCACACTCTCTAAGTCCAAATATGGAGGACTCTGTTAACTGCTCATCAGATGTTCTGGCGTCTAGTTTCTACTATCATGTATTGTTTCCTGCTGCCTGTCAGCTTAGAATAAATAGAGTTGGTATAAGAATGTGATACAGCAGTCACTTTGTGAGGGGTGAAAAGCATAACTATTGCATTGTTTTGTACACCTGAAACTAATAATAGTAATAATAATAATAATACTAATAATAATAGAATGTGATGCAGTATTTTCGTGTCCAAAATCTACTGTAACAAAATACCACAAATTTGGTGGTTTAAAACAGCAGACATTTATTGTCTCACAGTTCCGGAAGCCAGAGGTCCAGAATCAAGATGCCATCGGGGCCGGGCTCTCTTAGATTTCTAAGGAAGAAGCAACCTTTCCTTGCCCCTTCCAGCTTCTGATGGTGGCTGCCAGTCCTTGGTGTTCTTTGACTTGTAGATGCATCACTCTGGTCTCTGTCTTCCTTGTCACAAAGCGTTCTCCCTGTGTCTCTTTTCCTCTTCTGATAAAGACACCAGCCATGTCAGATTAGGACCTACCCCGCTGCAGTATGATATCATCTTTTTAACAAAATTATTCTGTTTTATGGGACATTTCTGCTTATACTGTTGTTCTAGGTGTTAGCTCAAAAGTAAATCAGGTTGGGTCCTGCCCTCAAAGGCTTTCAGTATAGTAGAGGAGCTAAGATTTTTCTGTCTGTCTTCCCACCGGAATGTAAATTTGGGTCCATTGCTGTACCCCCGGGGTCTAGTGCTTGGAAGAGTCAATGTTCACTAAATACTGAATGAATAAATGAATGTAGTGCCAGCTGAGCAAGTGGAAGTAAGTTCAGTTTAGGGTGAGAAGCAGTAAGAGCTGTAAAGGAACAGTGAGTCTGAAGCCTTTTGTGTTTATAGGTCTTTGCTGGATTTCAAAGGGCCCATGAAGCTGACATCATCATGCCTCTTCATTAGCTAAGTTAGCTGTGACTATAGCATAGTTCTAGTATAACATAACGTAACAACATAACATAACATATAATATATAATGTAGTATAGTATAATTATAGTTCATAATCCAAAACCTCATTTGGCAGCTAGAGGCCCAAAACTGAAACGTTCTATTTACCCAAGGTCAATCTAACGCCTACTAACCAGATAATTTGTCAGGCAATAACATTATCTCCCCTTCTGGGATATTTATTGTTGAAGAGAATGCTATTTATTCACTGAGCACTGATTGAAGGACTTTTATGAGTTCTCTGCCTCCCAGGAAACACAGTGCTTTACAGTCTTATATGGCCACCTTGGGGTAGGGGATGGCCTCTTTCTGTGATTTTTCTTCAACTTTGAAGAATGTCTCTCTAATGGAAGTTATGGAAAGTTTTTAGAATAACGTGAATGCTGAGACTGGTTAATAGTTTGTATGCTTTTCCTAACTGTTTTATTGTGGAATTGTATACTCAATAATAACAAAATAAGTGGGGCATTTCAAAAGCATCCGACTGTCTAACATGAGGATGATTAGCTAAAACTTCAAAAACTGTGGAGGCTGCTCCTCTGAAGTCTTTCGAGACCAAAGTTACTTCTTTCCATTTTGCCAGCACTTACGACCTACCCTGCCTGTCCTGTTGATCGATCATTTACAACCTAGCATAAAGAAATGTTATTTGCATGCTATAATGCATTCGGGCTGCCCCAGGGCTCACCAGTCTGGGAGTTCAGGTGAATCACTGTTAAGAGAAGTTGAATATGTCATCTCATCCCTGTCTCGTCCCATTTCTGTCACCCCCTAGTATTCCTGGAAATCCCTCCTGTCCTGGTGCTGCCATCCTGCTAGTCATTGGCCTCCATCCTGGAGCCCTTGGGTGACCCAACAGTTGTGGTGTCGCTCGTTTCAGTGTGCATGAAAATGCAACCACTCTGGTTTTCACTCCCCTAGAGGGCTCTCAATGACGTTCTGCGTTTCTGCGTTTTCTGAATGTAGCCTAGTTTGTTAACACCCTTCCCGCCAAAGGACACAGACCTAGCCTACTTTGTCTGTGGTTTTCAGAATTACTTTTCTTTTATGTCATTGGTTCAATCCATGTAGTATCTCACTGGTCTCTTCAAAATATCAATTCCAGCCTGGCACTCTGGCTTAAACCCAGGCCTGCCTCCCAGTTCTTTCAGTGACATTCTGACCACAGCCTGTGAGACCCCTCTGCCCCATGTCGCCAGCGTCCTCTCATAGTCCACTCTCCAGCCACACTGGACTATTTAAGTTCCTTAGTGATGTGACACTAAGGCTTGA